CACATTCTGAAATAGCTATTACAATGTTAAAAGATGTCAGCCTCACCAGTAATTAAAGAAATGCAAATTAAAACAACAGAGTTTGTTTTTTTTATGGTAACATTTAGTGCTGCCAGGGTTTAATGAGACCCGTATTCTTTTCTTTTAAAGTAAATGGGTATACTCTTTCAGGGAAGAAATTTGACAATATGTAGCAAGAGTCTTTAAAAAATGTTTAAGTACTTCTACTTCTGAGCATTGATGGTAAGGAAATGATCAGAAATGCGAAGAGATGATGGACACCAAAATGTCAGATATAGTATCTTAATTTTTCACAATTATTAGTATATCTAAATGTGTATTAGGAGCAGCAAATGGTTAATTAAATATACAATGGTAGAATATTGCATAGCCTTTAGAAATAATGTTTTAAGGAATTTAATAGCAGTAAATAAAATGTTACACGAATTCCAGTTTTATACACTTCATTAATATCCTATCATATCATGCTTTTTTGACCTGCACAGCCAATATTAGGGCAAAAATGTTTTGCTGCTCTTTTCAGAAGTTATTTGCCAGCCACTACAGATAGTAAAGCTAATTTTAGCCTTCTTGCACTAAAAATTTCCACAGTGCCTTACATATAGTGCTCAGTAATATTAGCTATAATTACTGAAGATCTCTTCAGAACTTTCTTCCTAGGGGCACCTGGGTGGCTCAGTGGGTTAAAGCCTCTGCCTTCGGCTTGGGTCATGATCCCAGGGTCCTGGGAACGAGCCCCGCATCAGGCTCTCTGCTCAGCGGGGAGCCTGCTCTCCCCCCCCACCCCCGCCCCGTCCTCTGCCTACTTGTGATCTCTGTCAAATAAATAAATAAATAAATAATCTTTAAAAAAAAAAAAAGAACTTTCTCCCTAGAAAAGCATATATATTTATGTATACAACCAAGCATACAACTCTGGGCCCTGCAAGCTCACATAAATCCCATATGAAGATCCTCTTTGACAGGAGCCATGGTGAAGAATCATTGGTGTAAATGAAGAAATCTCCTTTCACCCTTGTGTGTGGGTGGTTGAATCAGAGTTTGCTGTCCAGGGTAAGAGGTGCCAGTTCTCATTTTCACCTGACATCCTTGGTATTGAGATGAAACAAATGCAGTCTTCCTTTAACACTACCTTTTTGGAATGGCTGAATTTAGTATACAGTTTCTTAGTATCTCTCATCTTGACTGGTGATACTCCCATTAATTGGGTATTGACTCTCAGATAAACCTGTTTCAGACAGCTGGAAATCTGCTGTGATGGTTCAGAATTTGGAGCCATTCCCGTCTGTCATTGTTCCAGTTTCCTCAGTCTTTACATATGATTTTTCAAGTCTTTACATACAATTTACATATGATTGGCTTCCACTGCCACCGTCACCCCTTCCAAATCTATTTATTAATCACCTAGTAGCAGTAATGTTCAGGGCCCTAGATGCTACAATGTGACAGGAGAAGAGAATAAACTGAGGTAGTCATGGATGACAGAACCAGATCGCCAGTGTTGCTTGCAGAGCCCCATTTAAAGGGTTCTGTTGAACAAGTCCAGAAGACAGCAAGCTAATGGCAAAGAATGTGGCTGCGGCATCCAGTGGAGAACTGTCTGGTCCAAGGTGGGGAGAAAAGAAGACTTCGGTAGTGGCAGGAGGACTGTTACTAGGCAGCTACCTTAGAGAGCCTGTATGGTGTAGTGATGAAGATTTCGGACTAAGGGGGCGCCTCACTGGCTCAGAGGAGCACGTACGCGGCTCTTGATCTCGAGGTTATGAGTTCGAGCCCCACATGGCATCTAAATAAATAAATAAATAATAATAAATAATAAATAAAACCTCAAAAGAAAAAAAAAAAAGAGTTCAGGCTAAGACCTGCATTCAAACCCCAGCTCCACCCCTTTCTGGCCCATATGACCTGAGGCAAGTAACTTAACCTCTGACATCAGGTTTTTTTTGTTGCTGTTGTTATAGAGTAGAAATGATCATAGTATCATCTATAGGATTCTTAGGATTAAATGTCCTGTGAAAAGCACCGCACCAAGTTTAGCAGGCCTGAAGGGTTCATTCGGGAAATGTTGTATAGCATTAAACATGATGATTCCTCTCAGGCTGAAACTGGAAAAATGAGTTAATGTCATTATGGAGGGGCAGACTGGGGCTCTGCGTGAGAAATGCCGGCCTGAATGTGTTCAAGCAGACTAAACAACCAGTATATATGTATCAGAGATGTGTAGATGGATGGGCCATTTGGTAATCGGTCATAATCTAATTTCCCTTCTCACTGTAAGACTCATTTTTTAAGGCAGACCTACAGCAAAACTGTTTTATTAATGTGGCTTTTTATGTTACAGAATTAAGTCCAGGGGCGCCTGGGTGGCTCAGTGGGTTAAAGCCTCTGCCTTCAGCTCAGGTCATGATCTCAGGGTTCTGGGATCGAGCCCCGCATCAGGCTCTCTGCTCAGTGGTGAGCCTGCTTCCCTGCCCCCCCCCGCCTGCCTCTCTGCCTACTTGTGATATGTCTGTCAAATAAATAAATAAAACCCTTATTAAGAAAAAAAAAAAGAAGAATTAAGTCCAAAGAAGTTGGGATAGGAAATAGCTTAGTTTAACATAATGACATTTTTATTGCCTTCTCTAGTTATATCATGTACAAATTGAGAGAACCTGCTAAGGATCACCAGTGGGAGTGATATTATTAGAATTAAATGTGAGTCATAGAGGCTCCCAGACAGTGTTCTATCTATCTGTGGAGGGAAGGAAGCTAAGCACATGTTAGGTATTAATTAACACCTTGTGGGGCGCCTGGCTGGCTCAGTCAGAGGAGCTTCATCTCTTGATCTCAGGATCTTGAGTTTGAGCCCCAGGTTGGGTGTAGAGATTACTTAAAGAAATAAATGTTTAATTAGCACCTTGAGAAAATTTAATTAGATTTTACAAATACAATTAAAAAGGCCAGTTTTCTTGAAAAACGCACTTAAGTTCCACCTGAAACAATTTGGAATGAATTTTAATAGTATTTTTGTTTCTCTGTAATTTATATTCTGCCTCCTTCTAGAAATAATTAGAAGCAACAGTTTAGAACATGGTGCTAAATAGGCGAGGGGAAAAAAGGGGGCTTCAAAGGCCTTCCCACATCAGTTCAGAGAGCCAAATCTTTGTATTCACTACTGTTGCTCAATGAGAAGTTACGCAGAGAAAGATCCTTTGTATATAGGGCACAGAGGAGTATTGCTAAAATGAAGAGTACCCTTATGTAGAAGCAGAAAACCTCCATTTATTTCCCTGTGCTGCTGTTGGCCTGCTTTGTAACTTTTAATCATTATTAGTAACATGAAAATCGCATTCTGCACCAACTCAAGAATTATTTTTTGTTTAAGAATGAAATCATGAGCTTACTTAAAAACAACCAAAGATTTGGGGCAGGGGATATGGAGACAGATGACATTTTCTTCAGGATCTCCTTGTTTTCCTTCTAGAATTATTTTAAAACAGAGTAAGCGGGGTTCCTGGGTGACTCAGTTGGTTAAGTGCCTGCCTTCAGCTCAGGTCATGATCCCGGGGTCCTGGGATCGAGCCCCGGATCAGGCTCCTTGCTCCCCGAGGAGTCTGCTTCTCCTTCTCTTTGCCTGCCTGCCACTCCCCCTGCTTGTGCTCACTCCCTCTCTCTCTCTCTGTGTCAAATTAATAAATCATCTTAAAAATAATTAAAACTGAGTAAGAAACAATCTCCTTGGGGTGCTGTTATACTAGCAAAAAATATAAGAAAGTGTTTTAAGAGAAAGGTAAACTATTTTCATTAGTAGCGCTTTCTAGTCTACCTTTGGCATCCTGGACAGTAGCTAACTTTAGGAGTATTTTACTTTCAGATAAGTCACATTCTATTTAAAATTACATATGAGCTCCTTAGAAAAATATTGTTCTAGAACCAAAAAAAATTAAACGCACAAAAAGGTAGAAACAACAAACAATAAACACTGTTTTTATACCCTTGCCTGGATTCAGCAGCTGTCAATCTCAACCAAACCTCCCTCTTTATTGCTACACACACGCTCCCTTCTGTTGCCTCCCCCTCCCCTTTTTGCCAGATCATCCAAAAGTACACCGTAGCCATCATAAATAGCCCTTATGTTTCTTTTTTTTTTTTATCTGCTGCTCAAGCACAGCAGAGCCACATGTTTATTGTAAAGTTTATTATATAGTTGGTGTCAGCTGTTAGTGCTTATCTAGAGTCTTAGGTACATTTTATTGGAATCAGGGGTATTCAGATTAAAGTTATCTTAGTAATTTCTGTGATGCTTCCTGTACTTCTCAGATCTGCATAGTGAGAGAAAGAATATTTAACTACTTACTGGTGAGTTTAAGACCCTACAAACTAATGACAGTACTGTTCTTGAGTAAAAATAGTTAAAATACTATATATAGTATTACAGTATATATATATATATGTATGTATATATATCACATATAAATATATATAATTTATAATATAAATAGATAATTATATATATATGATATATATATATAGTTTTTAAGTACTTTTGTTTTTCTCAAACAGGATGAAATAGTCAAGTTTTGTATTTTCAAGCAGTTTAGGAAAGGTAAAACTCAATATTTGAAGTGAAATATTTGTTACAATTTAGATATTTCATTGGTTAAAAGGTTTATTTATTGCTATAAATTGATGGTATGGGGCCCCTAGGTGGCTCAGTGGGTTAAGCCTCTGCCTTCAGCCTAGGTCATGATCTCAGGGTCTTGGGATCAAGCCCCGCAAAGGGCTCTCTGCTCAGCAGGGAGCCTACTTCCTCCTGTCTCTCTGCCTGCCTCTCTGCCTACTTGTGATCTCTCTCTGTCAAATAAATAAATAAAATCTTTTAAAAAAAGAAAAATTTGATGCTATAATTGATGGTGGAAAATATGGCCATTCTGTTCACTTAGCCTAGGTATGACCAAAACCATAAAAAAGATATTTCTCTCCTTTTTTTTTTCCAGGAGACTTTGATGAATTCACTGAAGATAATAACGACACTATGCTGAAGAACATAGCAGAGGACCTTCGGAATTGCTTACCTCTAGAAACCATGCTTTCCTCAGAACATCTAGCCCTCCAAAAAGTAAATACACTAATTTACTCTTCGTGCTACTTGAGGCTTCTCCTATTCTTCCCTAATCCTACAGCATCTCTGATCCAGTTAGTCCTGAATTCTGCTTTAGACAGTTTTTCATTTGGTGCTTCAATGATGTCCCCAATTCTTTCGAGTCCATAGTCCTCTGGCTCCCTATTCATTCAACAGGTATTTTTCAGGGCATCTTGTTTGCCAGCTCTCAGTTCCTACCCACTCAGTGTCCCCCCCACTCCCCAAAAAACAAGGCCCAACAGTTATCTGGCCCTGTCTCCATCATTGTCCTGGTTTTCTCTTTCCTGTTCAATATCCCCCACTTTTCTCAAAGGTGAAACTCATCTCTTTGTTTCCTTCTCCTCCTTTTGTGCTATATAGTTTTTGCAAATTTTGTTCCTTCATTCCTAAAAGAAGTTCTCATTTTTCTTCTCCAGACAACCCCCTCATTCAGGCCCCTTCAGATGTCAACTCTTCTGGAGTGCATATGCTGGGAATATTGTTTCCTGAAACAAAGCTGATAATAATCTCTTCTCCCACCAATCTGAAAACAGCAACCCTCAATGTGGCTTTTCACTGTGTAGATTCCGAAGCAGAGGAACTGGGTCCTGTAGATTTTCAATAGTGCTGTGCACATTGTGAGCACTTAGCAAATCTTAATAATATTGTCAGTCAGAGTCATTCCCAGAGGTGGAAAATAACGGATAGTTTAAAAACTGAGAGCAATATTTGTAGTATAGTTTGGATGTTTTTAATAAGTCAATCCTATCAGTAACATGATATACCAAAATATATGAAACAAGAAGTGTTCATCGAATGTAATGTTTCACCCATAATCCCCTCTCCTAACAGACTGTTTTTATCTTGCATTATTTCCTTCTAGTCCTTGTGTATGTCCATACATTTTACACACTTACAATATAGATGTGTGTGTATGGTAGGTATAGATACAATTTTATAGGTTTCTAAGTAGATAGGTTGGTTCTTTATTATAGTTAAGGTAAAAGGAATCAGGCATTTTATTCTTCATAGCCACTTGCTGTTATATCATGTATTACCAGTATTAATAAAGGGCTGTTCATTGTAAGCATGAAATTTTACCGATGTTTTAATTATTTGAAAACTCTGCCTCTGGGCAGAGCTTACTGCTAAGTATTTTGATGGGTCAGTCGCTGATACACAGGACTCAGGAGACCTGGTTATTAGTTTCAGTTCTTTCCTCTCTCATGGTCATTTCTTTAGAGAAATCTCTGAGTAGGAGTTTCTTTATTCGTAAAATGTACAACCCAGGATGGACAAGATAGTCATGGAAATACTCCTTAAACTCAAATTTTATATCTTTCACCTAGCCATGTTTTGTATCATTACCGGTCAAATTAAAAGTTGCTAGTGTTTCACAAAACAAAAACAAAAAACCAGAAAGAAGAGTAGGATGGCTCTGTGATAAATGAAACTTGTCTTTCTGTGCCTTGTTGCTCTCAGAATTTTAGCATATGAACCACTGATGTTTTGCCTTATTTAGCAATGAAAAGAGACTCCTTTGTACTTCGTTTCTTTTGAAGTTCTTCTCTCCACCAGATACGGCAGCAGCCAGAACCCACAGTTCACGTTGATGCATTCCTTTATGATGAAGACTTTATTGATTCATTATGTGAGGAAGGAAAAATGAGCAGAAACTACTGCATGGTGTGTGGCTCACACCAGACGGCTCCTTTAGGTAGGCCCTCGAATATGCAAACCTGGCGACTGTGCGTATACATGTCACCAGAACACAAATTCTTGACCAAGTCATTCAGAGTTTTTTGAAAGGAAAAGGCCAACCATGCAGCATAGCCATTACCAATTATTGAGGTTAGGGAGACCAAAGTGCAGTATTATCCGGGAAAGCTGGGCCAGGGGATGTCGCCAAGGAGAGCAGCTCTGCTTTTCACAGAAACTGTTTAATCAGAGGTGTATTTTCAGGTCCAGAAACTAATCACAAGTGACTGCGTTTAGGGAAACCAACTTATACTTTCCTTATTTCAGAGGGATTCAGAGGTAAACCACAATACTGGTTCACTTAGAATGAGAACTATAACTGCAAGGGGGCTGAAATGTCCCAATAAAAGCCTCTACTTAAGAAGGCAGATACTGTTGGATAGGCACGGATTCAGAGGCCAGAGATAGTCTTGAGAAAGGTCTATCCAGGCCTTGATTTGACCTAGTAGGACATCTCCCATCCATAACAGAGGACAACTCTAGTGACAAAAGGTCTCCTGCATCTCTGCCCCTCAGATGCAGCACCTCGGTCCCAAATGGGAAACTAGACTGACCTCATGCTGCAAATATGTTAACTCTTTCTTAAGGGGTGCCTGGGTGGCTCAGTCATTTGAGGGTCAGACTCTTGATTTCAGCCCAGGTCATGGTCTCAGGGATGTAGGATCGAGCCCTGCATCACGCTCCACATTTAGCAGGGAGTCTGCTTAAGATTCTCTCTCCCTCTCCCTCTGGCCCTCCCTACCACTCATGCATGCGCTCTCTCTCAAATAAATAAATCTTTTAAATATATATATATATATTTATATATTCGGCATTCAAATTGGATATGATCATCTAGGCTATTACTTTATTTTTTTAAAGATTTTATTTATTTATTTGACAGAGAGAGAGAGAGATCACAAGCAGGAGGAGAGGGAGGCAGAGAGAGAGGGAGAAGCAGGCTCCCTGCTGAGCAGAGAGCCCCATGTGGTGCTCAATCCCAGGACCCTGAGATTATGACCTGAGCCAAAGGCGGTGGCTTAACCCACTGAGCTACCCAGGTGCCCCTAGGCTGTTACTTTAGATACACTATTTCAGTCTTCCCGGTCACTTAAATATGGAGTTATTGCTTATAGTGTCCTACCTCTCCAGGTAAGTAACCTTATGTTCCTATTACTGATCTTAAATAACATCATTGTCAAAAGTTAAGTGCTACCAAATTTGTAATATGCTGCTAATACAAATATATTGTATCTCTATTATAATTGGGGATTAAACTTTCCTGATTTACTTGTTTAAGATTCTGTCTTTAGATAGTACTTATATTTTCCACGTGAGGTGGTTGAAATTCACAGAATAGAAAAGGACTTAGATAAGAACAATAGAAGGAAAACTAAAAAGTGAATTATAACTATAATACCATATCAGATCTGATTTACAGGAGGTTTGTTTTTTTTTTAAGATTTATTTATTTATTTTAGGGATGGGGAGGGGCAGAGGGAGAGAGACAATCTCCAACACATTTCCCCCTGAGTGAAGAGCCTGACTTGGGCCTCAGTCCCATGACCCTGAGATCCTGACTTGAGCCAAAATCAAGAGTTGGACGTTCAACCCCCTGAGCCATCCAGGTGCCCCTGAGTTACAGAAGCTTAAAGAAGAGATATGTTTGACAAATAAAAATTTGAAAGTTAGGATGCATTTTCCCTTAGAAATCAGATTGTAAATAGTGACTGGGTATGCAGGCCAGCCCATACAACCACAGTGAACCTGAAAAAGCTATCATCTGTGGAACTCTCCTTCCTTATATGATAAGGAGCTTATCTAGCTATAAGACACTAATGATGACTTTAATGTAAGGCTGAAGCACTAATGTGACAGGGAGTAGGGAGGATGAGGATTCTAGGCAGATAAGTCTATGGTGGTCGAAGCCCAACCCCATCCCCAGTCACACCCTTTATTTTCTTCCAAGAGATTAGCCTGCATGCTTCCATTTTCTTTGCCACCATCTCTTAGTTATGGCCAAAGTTTCTCTCCTTCCTGACCATTAAATTAAGAAGGACATAATATTGTAAGTCTTTAAAAAATATACTCAGGCTCTCCCAGATAATTTGATTTGGTCTAGGAAGCTTGTAGCAATTAAAAATTGTAACAGTTAAGCTAAAGGAAATAAGAATGATTGGTGGGCGTACCTCCACTTCCTTTCATACTACCCTTTCCTATACTCCAGAACACATTTTAGGTTGGTCAGGGCTGCCACGTTGCTCAACTCCAGAGATGGTCATTCATTTGATAGTCTACATGCAGTGGTAAGGGGGTATTCTGTGGTTGCTCTGGGGTAAGGTGAGAAAGCCAGATGATATGGGAGTTAGGGAGCATCCCATGGCATAACAGTCATAGGGAAAGAAAGGGAAAAACCAAGGACCTTCTAATCAACAGCAAGAAGGACGTGAGGGGCATAGTGATAGGGACACATTGCTGGGTAGCTATTCCCTAGAGGCCTTTTAAATGTCAGAGACTTTGGGGCTCCTGGGTGGCACAGTTAGTTAGTTGTCTGACCCTTGGTTTCAGCCCAGGTCTGAAATAAATAAATAAATCTTGAAAAATAAAAAATAAATGTGAGAGACTTCATGGTTATTCTTCTCTAATATAGCTCAGAGTGAATGAGTGCAAAATTATCACATTAATTTTTTCTAAATAGTCTCCGAATACCTTTCATTGGTTTGGAAGAGAAAAACATGAAATAGATGTTATAAATATAGATAAAAGAATTAGAAATACAGAATTGAATGTTTAGTACCCAACCAAAATTTGACAATTTGATGTTTATTCTGTTCTAATTCTCCAGGATTTATTTCTCATTCCTTCTCCCTCATGGAATTGAAGTTCATTTATCATCATGTACTCCCTGATCTGTCGGGAAAGGTCTTGGTTGACGTTGGCTCCAGGCTCGGCACAGTCCTTTATGGGGTAAAGTCCAGCTTGTGGACATATTCAACATTTGGAAAATACTTTCTCCTCCTGCTAGCAACAGTTTTGCCTGCCACCATCCAAGGTGACAGCTTGGCTTTAATTATTAGAGTAACAGAATAATAAGGTTAAAATATGATACTGAATTTGGAATTTCAAAGGCCAGCTCTCTGATTTCCTTTACTGGTTTGTCTCTGTGACACGAATGAAGGACTGTCAGCAAAGCAGGTGACCTCAAAACACTTTTGTTATTTTGTCAGTCACTGTTGACCTCCTAACTCTGTTTTCTTTGTGCTATATGTTAAATATTGTACTTTATACACTTTGGTAAGTATATATAGCTTTGGTAAGATCTTTTAAAAAAAGCTCTCATAAAGTTTACTTGACCTAGGAAATTGCATACAGCCATAACAAAGTCGCTTAATACTCCTGGCTTCACGTTCCTCACCTGTAAATAAACTAAATGATACCCAAGGACTCATCTTGGTCCAATTTTCTGTGATTCAAGTTTGAATGTAGACATTTGTGTCTGAAATATCACTTCGATGTGGCTTTTTTTAAAAAAAAATTCAAATCAAGAGTATTTGTAACATTCCTAAATGGTTTTATCAAAAAACTTAAATGTGGTTTCTGGTTGTCATTAGCAGACTTGTTAAAACATGTGGCCAACAGCAGTAGAGGCCCAGGCCAGAAACTCTCAGTTCCCGGCATCCATCGCCTGCTCTAAACAGAAACACTTAACTCTTTAGTGCTTAGTTTATTTATCAGCGTTAAGGCTTTCATTCTATAATTAGAAACAATATCCATAATAGAAAATACAGTTTGTCAAATGGCTTTTTTGGAAGACATTAGAGATTATGATTATTTACCATATTTGCTCCACTCTTGTCCATTTTTTGATTTGTTAGAAAAGTACATAGCTGAAAGAAACCCAGCTATGCCATTACGTGGCAGCGTTAAGAAATTTAAACATAGTCTCTCTCATTTTTCCTCCATATTAAAATGGTTACTGATTCAGTCAACAAAAAATTTTTGAGTACCTACTTACACTCTGTTGAACAGATTCTAAAAATCTATCACGAGCTGTAAATGCAAATTTGGTTCACACGTGGGTGTTACTTGATGTAAAGTAATACTCAGAATATGACTCGACCTTTCCATCCGTACTACTTTTTTGTGGATACATAATAATATCTAGTCAGTTCTTGATAATCCTTGTTAACTAATTGGTGGTTAATACTAGGCAGATGCCAGATTGACTTCCCTAAGCCAAACAGGACTTATCTCTGGCCACCTTCCTCTAGTGTCAGACTGTGCATGATTTTCCATTATATCCCCCATGGGTGAATGCCTGTCTTGCTTTCCCCTGCTGTACCTTCCCAAGAAATTACAGGAATAGATTATTAAACAGAGAATCTGTATGTGATTACTTCTCTCATTTCCAGCATTACTTAATGCACAGTTTTATCAGGAAAAGTAAGAAATCAGTCTTTCAAAATATAATTACTTTTGAATAATGGAAATTGACAAACTACAATTAAGGTTTTAATCAGTAAGAATATTTAAATTCTTGAAGTTGTAAGTTCTAATTTTATTACACGTTATTTATCTTTCATTTTATTTTTACTTTATTGAGTTCTATTTTTTTTTTTAAGTTTGATTTTTTAAAGTTTGGTATAGAAATGAACTCACAGTTCATTCATTTGCATCATGTCTTCATTTTTTTCAGGGTTATCTTTACAGTTCAGCCCTGCAACTATATGGAGTAGAATTGAATGGAGACTTTTGCCAGTTGCAGGAAATGGTCATAAAAAAATACCAGTTCACTGACAGAATAAAGGTACCCTTTTATCTATGTATTTCTTTACTAATGAAGTACAGTTGAGACACAATGTTTAATATTAGTTTCAGGTGTACAACATGGTGATTTGGTAAGTCTTTATGTTACACAATGCTTACCGTGAGTGTAGCTACCATCTGTCACCCTACAATGCTATTACAATATCATTGGCTATGTTTCCTATGCTGTACTAAAGGTGCCCTTTTAAATATATATTCCGTTATCTATTTTACAGCATCATTTAGCCAAGTTTCTTCTGGATTAGAGTTGGAAAATCTTTTTGGATCTATTCTTGGTTGCTGCTGTGTAGAACATTGAGTTGACTTAATACTTTAAAACAATAAAGGTGAATTTAATTATAATTACCTTCCACTCCTATTTCTCTTCCTCCCCAGTTTCATTAGAAAGTAGAATTTTTCTTAATTTCCTTCATCTCCTCTATAGTATAGTTTGGGTAGCAGCATTAATCTCCAGATGTAAGTCAAAAGTGTACTTAATGAAACTCTCTTAATGAAAGTAAGCAAAAAGGTTAAGTCATACTCTCAGTACTTTATCTTCTTTTTCTTAAGTTTCCAGGAAGAGCTGTGGATGCCACAGAATGGCAGTTCAGGTGGAATGACAGCCTGGTTGGGCCATAACAGAACTTAGCTCTTTCTCTATATGTAAGGGCAAAAATAACAAGAAAGGGAAAAGGAAGTTTTTTGGTTAATGCAGTAATTCTTATCCTTTCATGATGATCCTACACTTCTAATGGCAATGCGGGGAGATAGGCAGCACCTAAGGCTCTCTTGTGTTAAGGTGTTGAAAGACATCTTGGTAAGATTAAGGATCTAGTCCTCCCCTTTTTTATTGAAGGAAATGTTTTTTTTTCCTCCTTCTAAACTTCCTTTTTTACCCCTCTTTTTGTCTCTCTCTCATCTTAGAAACAGAGAGGCAAATGATCAAAGCAGATTTATCATCCAGTAATAAATTCATGGATTTTTCTCACCATCCCAATTTAGTGAACAGAAACACATTGTTCTTGCTTAATAAGAATCACATAACAGGAATGTTGATTTAATTGAAAGTTAAGATTTAAAAATTGACCTCTTAAGAATCCTAGTTTATAAATGGACAGTCAAGGGGTGCCAGGGTGGCTTCGTTGGTTGAGTGTCCAACTCTTGATTCGGCTCAGGTCACAATATCAGGGTTGTGGGATGGGCCCTGCACGGGGCTCGGCACTCAGCAGGGAGTCTGCTTGCGATTCTCCTTCTCACTCTATCCCCACCCCACCGTGCATGTTCTCTCTCTCTAAAATAAATAAATCTTTTAATTAATAAATAAATGGAGATCCAAGTACCTTATTTTTATTTTATTTTTTTAAAGAAGATGGTAAAGGGGGCGCCTGGGTGGCTCAGTGGGTTAAGCCTCTGCCTTCGGCTCAGGTCATGATCTCAGGGTTCTGGGATCGAGTCCCGCATTGGGCTCTCTGCTCAGCAGGGAGCCTGCTTCCCCTCTCTCTCTGCTTGTTTCTCTGCCTACTTGTGCTCTCTCTCTCTCTCTCTCTGTCAAATAAATAAATAAAATCTTTTAAAAAGAAAGAAGGAAAGAAAGAAGATGATAAAGGTATGTTAAACACATTTATTTACACATTAAAAGATTTTTTACCCCTAGCTTTTCAACGAGCGTATGTGGATGAGTTCCCACCCCACATACTTCTGCGGCTCCGGTGGCTGTTAGTAACCCAATGACAGAAAGCTGTTTGTATACCATTTCATTGGCAACCTTTACAGTTTCCTTCCTGGATGGTAAAGACAGTTGTGTTTGAGAGGCCCTAAGATCAATGGAAAGGAATTCTAGGGTTTGTTTGTTTGGTTTTTTTTTTAGGTTATTTTGAAATTTATCATATTTTTAAATTTAAATAAATTTTATAGAAATACAGGTTTGTTGTTGTTGTTGTTGTTGTTGTTGTTGTTGTTCAGCATAACAGTATTCCTTGTTTTTTGCACCACACCCAGTGCTCCATGCAATCCATGCCCTCTCCAATACCCACCACCTGGTTCCCCCAACCTCCCACCCCCCCTGCCGCTTCAAACCCCTCAGATTGTTTTTCAGAGCCATAGTCTCTCATGGTTCACCTCCCCTTCCAATTTCCCCCAACTCCCTTCTCCTCTCTAACTCCCCTTGTCCTCCATGCTATTTTTTATGCTCCACAAATAAGTGAAACCATATGATAATTGACTCTCTGCTTGACTTATTTCACTCAGCATAATCTCTTCCAGTCCCGTCCATGTTGCTACAAAAGTTGGGTATTCATCCTTTCTGACGGAGGCATAATACTCCATAGTGTATATGGACCACATCTTCCTTATCCATTCGTCCGTTGAAGGGCATCTTGGTTCTTTCCACAGTTTGGCAACTGTGGCCATTGCTGCTATAAACATTGGGGTACAGATGACCCTTCTTTTCACTACATCTGTATCTTTGGGCTAAATACCCAGTAGTGCAATTGCAGGGTCATAGGGAAGCTCTATTTTTAATTTCTTGAGGAATCTCCATACTGTTCTCCAAAGAGGCTGCACCAACTTGCATTCCCACCAACAGTGTAAGAGGGTTCCCCTTTCTCCACATCCCCTCCAACACATGTTGTTTCCTGTCTTGCTAATTTTGGCCATTCTAACTGGTGTAAGGTGATATCTCAGTGTGGTTTTAATTTGAATCTCCCTGATGGCTATTGATGGTGAACATTTTTTCATGTGTCTGATAGCCATTGAAATACAGGTTATTTTTATCTTGAAATCTGGGTAGCTTTAAGTGTTGGGCTCTGCTTTTTGTTTTATTTTTGTTCCTGTTTGGTCTTCTTTAATAGGACTTCCCTCAGAAGTCTAGAGATCCTTCGCTGTCCTTTCAGACTTAAGAGTGAGAAACAAAAAAGCTAGTTGAAGTTCTCAGCACTGAAGTGGGGGTTCTGAGCATTGGGGGCTTCACTGTTGAGTGATCTTGCTTGGCTGGTTAATTAGTTGGCGAGTATCTGATGAAGTATATTAAGATCTTTCCTCTTGGGCTGGTCTGATTGTCCAGGCTCCTTACTAAGTGGCCAACAACATCCTGCAAACGGAGGGGTAGAGGAGAAGAAGTAAAATGTAAGGGATTTACAACATCCTGTCTGCCTTACTACCCTTGTTTTCAGGACATTAGCCTTTCTTAGAACTAGTCCTGCTTTCCCCTGACCCATATACCTTTGTTTTACCCTTCCCAGCGAATAAACCTCTATTCTTTTGCTGGGGTATAAGAAAGTCCTATGGGAGTCTGGGTACTTCTAAAACTGACTTTCAACCCAGTTACCTTGTTTTTAGCATTTCTCCCTACTCCTTCACCCAGAAATAGCTGGTGCCATCAATTGTGAGCCTTTTTGAGATTCTGTAGTATAAGTCAAGTCTGGATCTTAGCTTTCTATCTGTCTAGCTTAAAAATCAGATTTTTCTGGTCTCCTAAATTTCTTATTAGTTCCTCTTTTTTCCCTAACTTACAAAATTTTATCTCTGTTATTTCCTTTCCCATTTCCCCCATCCTTGTGGGTATATACCTTCTTTTCTAAAAACCCTATACTGTTGTTATAATGAGGTTTCAGGAAAGCGTATGTGTACATGCCATGTGTCTTATGCACTATCTTTACATGAAAGACCCATTGGCTTAAATTATTTTTCTTTATTCATTATTTTGTTTATTCTTTATTCATATCTCGCTTATTCCTTTGATGGCACTTAGAGTTACCACTATAGCTGTTTCATCCCATTACTAGAATATAATGTATTTGAGTGTAGGTATTGTATCTCATTCCTCATGGTGTATCACCCTCCAGAGTATCCTGTATATAGGAGGTTCATTAGAAGTTGGTTAGGACATAAGTGACTCTTAATCTCACAAAACAAACTGAGGGTTGCTGGGGGGAGGGGGGTTGGGAGGGGGGGTGGGGTTATAATGGACATTGGGGAGGGTATGTGCTATGGTGAGTGCTGTGAAGTGTGTAAACCTGGCGATTCACAGACCTGTACCCCTGGGGAAAAAAATATATGTTTATAAAAAATAAAATTTAAAAAAAAAAAAAGAAGTTGGTTAGGGGCACCTGGGTGGCTCAGACAGTTAAGTGTCTGCCTTCGCCTCAGATCACGATCCCAGCATCCTGGGATCGAGTCCCACATCAGGCTCCCCGCTTGGTGGGGAACCTGCTTCTCCCTCTCCCTCTGCTGCTCCCCCTGCTTGTAATCTCTCTCTCTCTCTCTCTCTCTCTGCCAAATAAATAAATAAATCTTAAAAAAAAAATTGGTTCAATTGATTTTGGTTACCATGCAGCCTTTGCATTATTAGCATTCCAGTTTGTCCAGAGCCATTTTGGGGGGTTTCCATGGAACCTCTCTTGGTTGCCATAATTAATTTAACTTAATTTAATAATTTATTCTTTTTTTACCATATCTGTGGGGTGGGATGTGGGAGAGTGAACAGAGATGGGAAAGAAAAAGAGGAAACTGGTATATCAGTAGGTTAATTTGCATGCCTATTTCATATCTCAGCAGCATGTTTAGAAAGTTTATTAAAATGATTGTTTTCTGTGTGTTCAGGAACATGTTAAAGGTGCGTTTCAGAAACTAGAGGCCCACTTAATGTAAATTATCTTAGTGTTTTTCTTACTTAAAAAAGAGAATAAAATATGTTAAGAATCAGACCCCACAACATTCTGAATACTGTTTATTTGTAAGACCAAAGAAATCCTCTAATACAAAATAAACTTTTTCTCTTCCTTTTAAAATAAAAGTGGTTTGTTTTGCACTTGAGAAAATATATGTTTTCTCTTGCTACGTTGCTTATGCTCTGTAAGACTTGTGAATTGTGGTCAAGTTAATTTTTTTGAGGTATATAGTTTCAATTTTTTGTTATTAAGTTTTTTATGTTAATTCCTACGTAGTTGACATACAGTGTTATATTTCAGTTTTACAATACAGTGAATCAGCAGTTCTGCACATTACTCAAGTGCTCATCATAAGTGCACTCTTTCATCCCCATCGTCTGTTTCACCCACTCCCCCACCCACCTCCCCTCTGGTAACCATCAGTTTGTACTCTACAGCTAAGAGTCTGTTTCTTGGTTTATCTCTCTCTACTTTTTTTTATATTTCTCTCCTTTGCTTGTTTTGTTTCTTAAATTCCACTCATAAATAAATATGGGTGAAATCATATGGTGTTTATCTTTCTCTGATTGGTTTATTTCACTTAGCGTTATACACTCTAGCTCTATCTTGTCATTGCAAATGGCAAGATTTCATTCTTTTTTATGGTTGAATATCCCTGGATGGATGGATAGATGGATAGATAGATCGATAGAGGTACCACATCTATATTCATTCATTTGTTGAAGGACTCTTGGGCTGCTTCCATAATTTGGCTATTGTAAATAATGCTTCAGTATATACAGGGGTGCATGTATCCCTTTCAATTAGTGTTTTTTGTATTTGGGGGATAAATACCCAGTAGTACGATTGCTGGATATAGGGTCATTCTGTTTTTAGCTTTTTGAGGAACCTCCATACTGTGTTCCACAGCGGCTGCACCAGTTTGCATTCCCACCAACAGTGCAAGAGGGTTCCTTTTTCTCTACATCCCCATCAACACTTGTTTCCTGTGATTTTGTTTTTAGCCATTCTCACTGGTGTGAAATGATACCTCATTGTAGTCTTGATTTGCATTTCCCTGATGATGAGTGATATTGATCATTTTCTCATGTGTCTGTTGACTATGTATCTTGTTCGGAGCAATGTCTGTTCATGTCTTCTGCCCATTTTTTAATTGGATTATTTGGGGTTTTGGTGTTGAGTTGTGCAAGTTCTATATATATTTTGGATACCAACCCTTCATCACATAGGTCATTTGCAGATATCATCTCTCATTCAGGAGGTTGTCTTTTAGTTGGGTTGATTGTTGCCTTTGCTGTGCAGAAGCTTTTTATTTTTATATAGTCCCCATAGTTTACTTTTGCTTTTGTTTCCCTTGCTTCAGGGAACCTATTTAGAAAGATGTTGTTGTGGCCAATGTGAGAGAAATTATTGTCTGTGATCTCTTCCAGGATTTTAACGGTTTCAGGTCTCATATTTAGGTCTTTACTCCCTTTTGAGTTTATTTCCATTCATCATGTGAGAAAGTGGTCCAGTTTCATTCTTTTGCTTGTGGCTGATCAGTTTTCCCAGAGCCATTTGTTAAAGAGACTGTCTTTTTCCTGTTGTGTATTCTTGCCTCTTTTGTCAAAGATTAATTAACTGTATAATTGTGGGCTTATTTATTAGTTTTCTGTTCTATTCCATTGATCTGTGGATCTGTTTTTATGCCAGTACCATACTGCTTTGATGACTACAGCTTTGTAATCTAAATTGAAATCTGAAATTGTGATGCCTCCAGTTTTGTTTTTCTTTTTTAAGATTACTTCGTCTATTTGGGATCTTCTGTGGTTCCATACAAATTTTAGGATTGGCTTTTTCTAGTTCTGTGAAAAATGCAGTTGGTATTTTGATAGGGATTGCATTAAATCTGTACATTGGTTTGGGTAGTGTAGACTTTGTTACAATATCTGTTATTCCAATCCATGAGCATGAGATGTCTTTCCATTTCATTGTGTCATCTTCAGTTTCTTTCATCAGTGTTTTATACTTTTTTTTTTTAAAGATTTTATTTATTTATTTGACAGACAGAGATCACAAGTAGGCAGAGAGGAAGGCAGAGAGAAAGAGAAGAGGAAGCAGGCTCCCTGCGGAGCAGAGAGCCTGATGCGGGGCTGGATCCCAAGACCCTGGGATCATGACTGGAGCCAAAGGCAGAGGTTTTAACCCACTGAGCTACCCAGGCGCCCCAGTGTTTTATACTTTTGAGAGTACAGGTCTTTCACCTCTTTGGCTAAGTTTATTCCTAGGTATTTTATTGTTTTGGGTGTGAAGCATATAATTTTTAAGTAAATTGTTTTATTTGCTTCTTTGGATAAATAAATCAAGTAAATTTTAGACGAAAAGTCAGACAAAGCCAATAAAAATATTGTATTAACATTTTATAATATATAAATTACTTTATAATATATAAATTACTTTGATATGATCCCATTGGATTCTGTGAATCAGGACAGATACTATTCCATTTTACTCATGAGGACACCGACTGCCAAATTGTACAGACTCCGTTGATGATGGAGCCAGAGTTTGAACCTAGGGCCTTTGTCTCTTACAATTAATCATATAGCCATAGTGGAAAAAGCTCCGAACTGGGGATCGAAAGACTATAATTATATGACTATGTAAATAAATCTATCTAAAACAAATTTTCACAAGTTTATGGTTTTTAATTAGATACTAAGTATTTCCCACAGGTGATACTATTAAATAGACTATTCTTTCTCCCATTGTAATTATGGTTAACTTCTTGTATTGCCTCGTGTCATTGAACCCATAGCTATGTCTTCTGTGGCTATCTTTGTTTTCTCAAGTGAACTCACTCTTCTTTAGGTGCTTCATGCGGACATCTGTACCCAGGGTTCACTTCTGCAAAATGCTGATGTTATTATCATGAATAATGTCTTCGAATATTTTCTTGATGAGGCAGAACAGGCCAGGTATGTTATTTATTCAAGCAAAAAGGCTGTTAAAATATGTTCAGCAAAGTATGAAAAGGGATTAGTGGGGTGCCTGGCTGGCTCAGTTGGTAAAGCATGTGACTTGATCTTGGGGTCGTGAGTACAAGTCCCACATTGGGTATAGAGATTACTAAATATCTTTGTTTTTAAAAAAGGGATTGGTAAAATAGAAATATTTTCATATTTTACTTTTTTAAAATAACCTCAACAAGATTATGTTAATAAGGAAATGTATTACGCATAAAAAAAATAAACTTTGTCTAACTTTGTAAAATATTACATCTAATGGGGGGTACATTTAAATGATATCATGACCCAAGCATTTGCTTAGCAATCAGGGATACAATAAGATAACCATTCCTGATAGGCATTTATACTTACTCTTTTCTGTCTCCATTTTAGTTTTTTTTTTTGAAAAAACATGTCATATGCTATCCTATCACGAAATTTTGGGAATTAATTTCTATAAGTGATAGAAGATATAAGAATATTAACCAAAATAGTGATTAGTTGTCAAACTTTAAAAGTATTTTTAAGGTGGTAATCATAGGTTCCTAAAACTATTTAGTTCCTAAAACTATTTCTTTTCAGGGAATAGAAAAGTTAGCATATCTGTGATCTCTTTTTTTGACTTCTCTGCCACAGTTTGATGCTCAGCCAGTCAGTCCCTCTAATTAGAAAATTCCTGTGGTCCATAGTCTGAGACATTGATTTTCTAGCTAGTTAGGAATCCTGACATTTTTTTTTTTAAACATAATGACATATGTGTACTCTAGTTGAAGGAAAACTCCCTTTCCATACATACAAAATGGAATTACACAAATGTTTGGACTAGTGCATCAGTAAGGTTTATACTGCAGAGAAATAAAAACACATATAATTATAGACCATAAATAGTTAATACAGAGTGAAATCCTGAATGGCAAAACCCTCTTTATCCTGCCATCCTTTTACCTTCTCTGTTCTCCCCTGCCCCCAACTCTCTGTCTCACACACATACACACACACATGCCATACCCATTACTAGTAGGTTAAGGTCACCATGAAATTAACAGCTTAAATATTTTAAAAAGAAACTAGTTCAAGGCGCATCTGGGTGGCTCACTGGGTTAGAACCTCTGCCTTCGGCTCAGGTCATGATCCCAGAGTCCTGGGACAGAGCCCTGCATCAGGCTCTCTGCTTAGCGGGGAGCCTGCTCCCCCCTCTCTCTCTCTGCTTCCTCTCTGCCTACTTGTGATCTCTGTCAAATAAATAAATTTTTTTTTTTAAATCTTAAAAAAAAGAAACTAGTTCGAAAGAAAGCTAATCACATAATCAAAGCTCAGCCAGAATAGGTGACAATTTTTGGTCACAGGCTGAAGACCAAAAACACAACATGAGCAAAGTTGTCTTAATCATAGCCCCCCCCTTTTTTTTTAAAGATTTTATTTATTTATTTGACAGAGAGAGATCACAAGTAGGCAGAGAGGCAGGCACAGAGAGAGAGAGAGAGAGGGAAGCAGGCTCCCTGCTGAGCAGAGAGCCCAATGCGGGACTCGATCCCAGGACCCTGAGATCCTGACCTGAGCCGAAGGCAGTGGCTTAACCCACTGAGCCACCCAGGCGCCCCGTATCATAGCCCTCTTTAAGCTTAATTTCCAGTGGACAAAGTATGATTAGCTTTTTACCTTTTTAAGTTAATGACCAGTAGCCAAAACATTACATAATTTTTAGAGAATGAAATATTACCAGGTTTATGTTGTATAAGAAGTTAAAAGAGAAAAACACCTTAAAGGCTTTGGAGTTTCATTACAGAATGATTTTGACTGCTGAAGAATGAGAAAAGCCACTGGTGAACTTGGCACCAGAAATACTGAATGTTTGGGTTGTTTTAAAAGCTTTCTTGGTACAATCATTCACATGCTCTACATTGTTTAGTGACTAGGTATTGGCCACATGTGTTAGTTCAGTCATTTCTCCTAAATTAGTCTAGTGCAATGAATTTGTAATATAGGTAGGTTATAGCCATGAATGACAGTATAGAGGAGAATGTTTAGGAGACCCAGTAAAGCATTCTGACATTGGAATCGTTATCATTTACATACGTTAAATCTGTATTGTATTGAATGAAAAAGAAAATGCCACCACATATAGCCTCCAAGGATTTGTCTTAATTAGAATCTGGGACAAGTAGAATGACACTGCTATAGGAGTTAGAAGAGAAAACAGAAATATATCCTAAAAATAGGACATGTGTACTCAGGAAAGACTCAGGCTTCCGAATAAGTCCTATCTCATTGGAGAGTAACACCCCCGATTTGTTGAGTAATTGTTGGTTTCAAAGGTGCCTCAGTGCATTTCCTGAGTAGGTGAAACACCTAGAGCTGCCAGAAGGACAGCTTGCCAGAAGCAGCAAGCGCTATTTGGAGAGTCATGGCCAACCACGCCAATTTAGTCAGCTTCTTCATTCTTATTAAATAAACTTCTGAAATATGTTGTTTTTAAGGAACCACATCAAAACAATAGCTCTAGCCCATGCACAGTGACTATTATCAAGCACTGCTGCATGATTTTAGATCTAGCCTGAGGAAAAGAACATTTGTTATCATTTTGCCTAATGAACTCCAGAATACTAAACCTAATAACCATTGCTGTAATGGAAAGAAATGCGCTGCTCACCTGCCTGTTGCAAGGGCTGCTCATCTCTGCTTTGCTTGCCCATTGCCCGCCAGTAGTGGGGGTTACTCTCAACACTCACACACGTAGAGAAAGCCAGCTCGTTCCTGCACTGAATTAGAGCTGGGCAGGTGCTGCCCTGTGGTACGTATAAACACACATGGCATTTCATCATGCTTTCAACCTGGCTGGTCCCACTCAACTCCGCCATTGCCATGTTGCCCAAAAGTCTTCCCATTAAATTTTTTTGACAACCAGGGCTGCCTGGGTGGCTCAGTGGGTTAAAGCCTCTGCCTTCGGCTCAGGTCATGATCCCAGGGTCCTGGGATCGAGCCCTACATCGGGCTCTCTGCCGAGCAGGGACCCTGCTTCCTCCTCTCTCTGCCTGCTTCTCTGCCTACTTGTGATCTCTGTCAAATACATAATAAATAAAATCTTAAAAAAAAATTTTTTTTGGACAGTGGAATAAAATACAATTTCATTCTTGGTGTTATTTTAAAAGATGTAATCTACATATCATGCTCTATTGTTAGTCTTTGCTTGGCTTCTGGTTTTTGGGGCCTTTCTCCACTACTCTTCCCCATCTCTACCGCTTAGCCCTTCTCCATTCCACAGAACAAGTTTTGACACACTTTATCAAGAGTTTAAGGAGCACCTGGGTGGCTCAGTCGGTTAAGCTTCTGACTCGTGGTTTCAGCTCAGGTCATGATCTCAGGGTCATGAGATCAAGCTCCACGTTGGTCTGTGCTCTGGGCTTTGAGCCTGCTTGGGATTCTCTCCCCTACCATGCGCTCTCTCTCTCTCTCTCTCAACCAAAAAAAATCAAAAGAGTTAAGGGGTTTTAACTGCTGATCCAGCTTTGACATGTGTATTGGTTCTGAAAACTGAGTTTTGGCCTTAACAGTACCTCGTAGTAACACAAATCCCCATCTTGTTAAATCTCTTCAGTGTTGTAACATCACAATTTTGCCAACACCCCCTTCAGAAACTGAAGGACTTGTCAGTTTCTAATATGTTGCTACAATCCTATTTCTTGCAGGCAAACATTTTGCCCATCTGGATTTCTGGGTATTGCCTGTGCTGCATTTTCTCTTGTGATCTTCATTTTTTAAAAGTGTTCGGTGTCTGGTAAAACGTAAAATATTAATTTTTAATATGTTGCAGAGCCTGGGAATATATCAGCCATAATGTACGGAAACAAGGATCATTATTAGTAACAGTACCAAGTCTTGAAGATTCTCTGTCAGGCCTTCAGGTATGTAAACCTCTTTCCGAGAATTTTTCTTTTAAAATTTTATCTATTTATTAGAGAGAGAGTGCACACACAAGAGAGTGATGGGGGGAGGCACGGGGGCAGTGGGAGAGGGAGAAGCAGACCCCACTGAGCAGGGAGCCTGATGCGGAGCTTGATCCCAGGACCCTGGGATCATTACCTGAGCTGAAGGCAGACGCTTAAGTGACTGAGCCACCCAGGACCCCCTATCCCAGCATTTTTATTGTCAAAACTTTTCTCCTACTTTCTTCTGATAGCTCTTACTATATCCTAGAGATATTCTGTCTGAATATAGTGACAGGGACGCCTGGGTGGCTCAGTTGGTTAAGCAGCTGCCTTCGGCTCAGGTCATGATCCCAGTGTCCTGGGATCGAGTCCCACATCGGGCTCCTTGCTCTGCAGGGAGCCTGCTTCTCCCTCTGCCTCTGCCTGCCATTCTGTCTGCCTGTGCTCGCTCGCTCTCTCTCATAAATAAATAAAATCTTTAAAAAAAAAAAAAACGATGAATATAGTGACAGATGATAGAAAGAAGAGCAGTAACTTATAGCCTAAGAACTGGTTTGTGGTTTGTTCATTGGCCCCCAGAGCTCTGAAATTGTAATTCCTATCTTGATATAGAGTCCTTTGCTTCTCCAACCAGTTTTTCCAACTGGGGTCTTACAGTTTTAGGTTAACAAATGCTACTAAATGTTTGCAAGAGGCTTAGAATACCCACATCATAACTTTCCCTTACAACAAAAGGAACAGGAATTCCTGGGTGGGTCAGTCATTTAAGCATCTGCCTTCGGCTCAGGTCACAATCCCAGGGTCCTGGGATCAAGCCCTGCACTGGGCTCCCTGCTCGGAGGGAAGCCTGCTTCTCCCTCTCCCACTCCCCCTGCTTATGTTCCCTCTCTTGCTCTCTCTGTCTCTATCAGATAAATAAATAAAAATCTTAAAAAAAAAAAAAAACTGAACCATCAATAACACTTTCTTAAGAAATTTTTGTCAATCATCCAAATTATAAAAGTAATTCATATTTGTAATAACAAGGGAAATAATCTTGAGGTATATAAAGAAAGATGTTAATCTCCCCATCCCCTCCACTTAAGTCTTATCCAGGAGAGACCCATCTCATGTGTGGTATAATCCTATCATACTTCTCATGCTTATAAAAAAAATGTCTTTTAAAATATATGGTCTCCCAAGGGGCACCTGGATGGCTCAGTCGGTTAAGGAGCTGACTCCTGTTTTGTTTTGTTTTTTTTTTAAGATTTAATTAATTTATTTGACAGACAGAGATCACAAGTAGGCAGAGAGGCAGGCCGAGAGAGAGAGAGGAGGAAGCAGGCTCCCTGCCAAGGAGAGAGCGGGCAATGTAAAGGAAGGGCCCTCTAATTTCTAGAGGAAAATTAGCCCCTCTCATGCAACCCCTTAACGCCATCGCTGTATATGTATGAACAGTTTGCTCTGTTCTCTGTGTATTCTCTTTGTTGTTTTAGTCTTTTATTGTTTAAACCTAATGATAATTATTAAACTAGTTACGTTAAAACAATTACTCTATTCTGTATTTTCTTTATTCTTTCAAATTCCAAATCATAGTAAATGAAATGCTGAATCCACAGACCTACCATGTAGTACAACAAAGAATTGTTCATGTGACACCATGTAAACTTAGTCCTACTTGTTGTAAAAAAAAAAAAAAATTCTGTCATCTTCAATGACTTAGTTCATCATGATTTCTTGAAGTTCCAGAGAACAGGATGATTCTGCATTTTTCATGTATGTTTATCATCTTTTTTCCTTCCAGATTAATACACAGTTATCTTCCTGGGTTGAAGAGGTACCACTGAACTACAGTGTATACCCAGAAAACCATATTGGCAGAGAAACTCTTGAACAAATTCATTTGTATAAGATTCTCTAACGTCAAAATAGTCCTACCTCAATGTAGTGGTTTGTTGAGTATATCACAAATTAATAAAAAAGAAACCTCTCCCTGATACTCTAACACATATTTCTATATATTCCTTTCTAGATTTTACATGTATGTTTACATATTTGTAAATAGTCTTATGGGTATATATACACACACATAGTTGTGTCCATATACAACTTTGATTTCTGTGATAATTTAATTAAAATATTTATCTGAATATTTTTGGTTTTCCTGTTTCTTTTATCTTGCTAAAAACAAATACGTGCTTCTTTAGTCACTGACTTTGTATACCAAGTCCAGATATGACAAAAGGGATTAGAAGTTGTTTCTATCATAAGAAAAGGGTAGAAGGGAAGGTCGGTTACTTTATATCCCATTTATTAGATCTCTGTTCTGTAAGATTGCTTGTGCACAACTTTATGTGAGGACACTAGCCCAAGGACAAAATAAGAAAATAATTGCCGTTGCTAGGAAAAACCAAAACTAGAAAGATAGCCTCCGAAATATAAGTAGAGATCCATCTGGGTGGAGCAATTAATTACTGGTGATTTTTTTTTTTCCTTTTCGGTGTTTTTCTTTATTTTCCATTTTTTTCTGTAAGGAATGTATTTCTTTTGAAATCGGGAAAAGCAAGGTTTTGGTTTTTTTTTTTTAAGAATATAGTGGAACATCAAAAGAACACCTAACTGGTTCTAGTAATCTCATATTTAATATTATATTTATATTACCTTTTTAAACTAACCTACATTTCAGAATTGCAGAACTTTTTGGAAATCTATGTTTTGGGGGTTGTTTTTTGTTTATTTTTCAATTAGAGAGCAGTGGGGAGAGACAGAGGCAAAGAGAGAGAGAGAATCTCAGGTAGACTCCCACAGAGTGCAGAGCCCCACATGGGGTTTGATCTCACAAACCTGAGATCAGGACCTGAGCTGAAATCAAGAGGCAAAGGCCAGGGGCACCTAGGTGGCTCAGTGGCTTAAGGCCTCTGCCTTCGGCTCAGGTCATGATCCCGGGGTCCTGGGATCGAGCCCCACATCAAGCCCCACATTGGGCTCTCTGCTCAGCGGGGAGCCTGCTTCCTCCTTTCTCTCTGCCTGCCTCTCTGTCTATGTGTGATCTCTCTGTCAAATAAATAAAATCTTAAAAAAAAAAAAAAAAAAAGAGGCAAAGGCCCAACCAACTGAGCCCCTGGAAATCTGTTTTTGTAAGTTTTGTTTTGTTTTGTTTTGCAAGATTTTTTTTTTAAGATTTTATTTATTTATTTATTTATTTAACAGAGATCACAGGTAGGCAGAGAGGCAGGCAGAGAGAGAAAGGAAGGGAAGCAGGCTCCCCACCAAGCAGAGAGCCCGATGCAAGGCTTGATCCCAGGACCCCGGGATCATGATCCAAGCCAAAGGTAGAGGCTTTAACCTACTGAGCCACCCAGGCACCCCTTATTTTTAGAGATTTTATTCATTTATTTGACAAAGAGAGACACAGCAAGAGGAAACAGGCCAGGGGAGAGAGAGAAGCAGGACTCTGCTCAGCAGGGAGCCCGACCAGGGGCTCGGTGCCAGGGCTCTATGTCAGGACCCTGGCATCACGACCTGAGCTGAAAGCAGACATTTAGTGACTGAGCCACCCAGGCTATGTTTTAAAAGGGATTTATCAAGTATACTTTTTGTCATCACCTGCTTATGAGAACTTGCCATGTAGTCAGTTTTAACTTTTCTGGGGGTGCGAGGGAGGGGCAGAGGGAGAGAGAATCTTAAGCAGCCCGCACACCCAGCGTGGAGCTGATAGGGCTCAATCTCAAAACCCCAAGATCATGACTTGAGTTGAAATCAAGATTTGGACACTTAACCAACTGAGCCACCCAGGCACCCCTTTGTTTTTTGTTTTGTTTTCAAGAAGTTATTGGTCAATAGCTAAATAAAATGCTAAAAATAAAAAGTTTGGAACTTGGGACACCTGGATGGCTCAGTCAGTTAAACATCTGCCTTCCGCTCAGGTCATTATCCCAAGGTGCTGGGATCCAGTCCAGCATTGGGCTCCTTGCTCAGTGGGGAGCCTGCTTCTCCCTCTGCTGCCTCTCTCCCTGCTTATGTGTTCTCTCTCTCTCTGACAAAAGCTTTTGAAAATTTTTTTTAAAAAGCTTAGAACTTTTACTGTTGTTATTAATAAGCCTCATTTATAGTATCTAGTATAATACTGAATATCAGGATAAATGCTCAAATTCCAATAATTATTCACACAGGCATTACTTATCCCTGCTAACCCATTAAACATTTTTACCATGCTAGTCAGCCAAGAAGAAGCTAAAGTACAGTTAGGAAGTTACTATCAACTCTGGCATCTCAGTAACAGTTGGATGTTTCTAGGAGGCTGTGCAGATTTTCTGAAATTAAAGAGATTTCTAGAAATGGAGGAAAATTAATTGAAAATATTTGAGAATATTTCAATACTTAAAATACTTGTAGCTGTTATTCATATGATTGTTTTATACATAATTAAATGTATTGGCTTATTGTAATAACATTTAGGCACTTAAATTTCAAACACAACAAACAATATTAACTGGCATATATGTAAGATACAAATAGTAATCATCCATGAAAAAATAAGTTTATTAATAATATGGCATATAATTACAAACAGAACATTTATTGAATTTCATTTGATGGTGCACCTATTCTTAAACTATATTTCCTAAACTCTGATTCCCAGTTGCCCTAGTTTATTTGAATGTTCCTCCGAAGCGTGAATCTCTAAAGCGTAATGGGCTGCTGTGGCCCTGGGTGAATGCCAGAGCTCCCATTCTGGAATGCCCTGGACAGGACAGAGGAGAGAGAACACTAGCAATACTCTGGACAAGAAAAGGACAAGTCTATCTGCAAATCTGGTTTTGGATCATTCAGCCCCTAATTTGTAAAACAAAAATAAGTATGCATTCAGTTATCCATAGTGGAATATACTCAAGAGCACAGATTATCAGTCGTTTCCATAAATGTGTGTAAAACGTTACATAAAAACTTGACAATTCTTTAATTTGTGTAGGGTTTTTTATAATCTCTACACCCAACATGGGCCTTAAACTCATGACCCCAAGATCAAAAGTCACGTATTCTGCCGACTGAGCCAGCCAGGCATCCTCACGATTATATTTACTGTTGTCATTGCTATGATTTTAGACATGTTAAAATAAACTATGTGTCTTTGGTTGAAGGAGTGGAAAAAAGGTATAAACAGGTATGAAATATGAAATAGTGGAAATTATTCTGTGTAATCTTTAAACATTTAACAGTTTTTAATAAATGCCTGAGGCAAATATTAGAACTATAGGATATTGAGAAGACCTTCTTCTACTAGTATTAATGTTCTGTTTGTGGAATTCTTGAACTTTTAAATGTGTATGTATTCGTCTAGAGACAATTATTGTCACTAAAAAGGCTAGTTTCTTGGGGAGAATTTCTCATGTATGAAGTTTATGCTGCTCACAGTTTGTCACTCCTTAGCCTCAGCCTCCCTCTCTCCCACTCCAGTGTCTGTGCCATGTGTCTCAGAAGGCTTAGGAGGAAGAGTAGTGGAGTAAGACATTTTTGTATTTTAGCAGCCAATATCTGTGAAAAATAAAAATATTTTTTCATATGGCTTTACTGGTGCTCAGACAACTCAAAACAGTAAGATTACATTAAATGTCCAAATTATCTAGCTCTTTAGCTGATAAAATACATGACAAATTTGGTGAAAGAGTTAAATTGGTAGAAAACAGAAAATAAAATTGTATTTTAGAAATTTTTTCTGCTAATGTTCCTTTAAAATTACTGAATTTCATAGAGCTTCTCCAAGTTTGATCACCATGTTCCTTCACCTAACCTCCAATTCCCTTTACTAAAAGCAGATACCCTCAAGGTCCTAACCAGGTCCTATGTTGGGATACCACAGCTTAAACACTCCAGAATTTAATGACAACTTCATTATTAGTAGTCATTATAAGGTATTTTCTATTGATGGTGAATTCCACAGGCATGTGAATATTAATTACATGAACTAATCACACAAGCATGTGTTAAGCGTCCACATTGTATCTTGCCCTCTGCCAGCCTCACTTGGCTCTACCATGAAAGAACTCACACTCTAAGGAGGGAGAAGAATGAGGCCTTAAGTTAAGTTAAAGGGTAAGAAAAGATGTTCCTGGTGAAGGGAAAAGCATGTGCAGAGGCAGAGAATAGTGAGTATTATGACTAGGGCCCAGGGTAGGAAGGATTACAGGAGGATCATGAAGGGAATGAAGGCCAGATCAGGAAGGCGTGGTATCCCAAGCAAAGGAGATCACATTTTATTCTGAATCAAGGTGAGTCATTACAAGATTTTAAGCAGCATATTGATATGGTCAAAATAAAATTATAGAAGCCATATGGTGGCCCAGTGACTAGGGATGTAGGGAAAAGAAAGGAGTCAAGAGGTATCTGGGAGGGCTCAGCACTTTGTTAGGAAGTAAATAAATCCAGAATTAAAGAGGGTTTTAAAATTACATTTATGGAGATACCTAAGAAAATCAATGTGGCCTTACAGCAAATAATTATTAACTCAAAAGATAACAGCAAGGACCCTACTGAATACAGTCTTATGTACTATCTGTATAAGAAATAGTTAGATACTAAGTATATGGCCAAAAAAGAATGCTGGGAGGCAAAAACTAAGACAATAACTTGATAGGAAACTGCCAAGGGTGCAACACGCATGCGTGCACGCGCACTTAGGCGCGCACACACACACAAACATACACAGAGTAAACAAGGATATTAATTAACATTGAAGAGAAGGATTTGGCTGGGGCATAAAGTTCCAAACATTATCATGTAAATAAATGAAGAATCTAGCTGGGGAAAAAAAAAAAAAAAAAAAAAAAAACGAGTTTCAGTGGGGACATGCAAGCACAGTAAAAGATTTCTCCTTGTTAGAGGAACTCAATTCTGGTACGCAATATTAATTAAACAGGCCTTGTTTGGCAGCTGTCCACTTCCCTAGACTTGTCCAGATGCCTAAAGCAACTCAACCACTTTAGTAGTTTACCCACTTGTCAATTAAGTTAGGTAATGTTTTGGGACCATGAGTTTCACAGGAGTATTATGTACATTAACTGAATAACTAAATAACTAAAAACCTTGAAATATA